CCACCTGGGACAGAACCGCCGAATGGCCCTGTTCCGAGACTCCCAGACCCACTGCCCCCTCCCGGGACCCGCTCAGAGTCAGGACTGTCTAGATCCAGACTGAACGGCCTCTCCACGAACAACAGCTGCCATAGCTACAGTGAAATAGTGCAAGATGAGTAGTGCAATCTACCTCACTCTAACTTATTCAAAAACTCCTTATCAACAACAGCTACACAATCTCTATCTGACAGGAAAGATGTTGTGGAAAGAAGGGGTCAACATACCTCGGCAAACTGTGAAGCTGTGTCATCAAGGCTATTTGAACTACTGTCCAGAAGACTAAGGATGAAACAATCACATTCATGTCAGATCTGGCTACATACTGCCGTTTCATGGAACTTGGCAACATACACTGCAGTACAGCTGACTGTCACAGTGAGGGAGTCATCGATCTAAACCAGCGCTTCTCAATCCAGAACTGCACAATTTGAATCTCTCACTCATTTAAAGGCTAAGACAGCTGCTTTGCTGCCCATGGTGCCCAGACAATGACTTCACAGAAGCATTTTAGTGATAAGGCACCACCTAAGAAAACTGGTTACGTCTGTTTTCATGTGAGCTTTAGTCACAACCAAGCAAATATTTAATGACTGCAGTGTTTATTGTTCGTTAGGAATGGTGACGCGTTAAAAGAATTCAAAAAATGTCATTCACCTCATTTATTTTGTTTTTTAATGTATACCATATTCAACAGCTGAACTACACAAGCAGAATGGTGGGATACCACAGGCATCTATGCTGCCTTCAAAAGATGACCAACACTTCCCTACTACATAGTATGCAAAAAGGAGTATATAAAATGTAAAACATAAGTGAACATTACCCAAATAACTGACTGCATCAGCTGAGATTGCATTCAACCAGTGGACACTTTGCTATCCTACAATGCCAAAGCAGCTGAGGAGTCATTCGATTTGAAAAGTTGAGAGAGCTGTGAGTTGAGCAACTCTTTTCTAGTGTAAGTAGGTCAATGACAAATAAGAGTGTCCAAGATAAAGAAATAAAACAGTTTTTAAAATCTCGTTTTAACGCGTGCAAAGCTGTTAGAAGTGAACTCATTCATGGTTTTGAAAAACTTTTATACAAATTTCAAGAAAAGTTTCATGACACTAAATGAAACTTAGTGTCATGAACTAAGTTTTAATGACACTAAAATGTCTTATGTTGTAACCACCAAGAGAAAGGTAGTAAAAATTAAAATGCCCACAGCTTATATTTTATTTTAAGCAAATATTATGAATTATTAATTCCAATAATGTATTTAGCTTATTACATAAGCTTTTCGGAGGGTTGCACCACATTCCACAACTTGAACTAACCTTGCTGTATCATATGATCAAATTATCATATATTTTAAGAGACATTTTCAACCTTGACCCACAGTCATTAGGGTCTGCAAAGTATATAATATCATTTCCTGTTGTTTTTTTTTTTTCCTGAAATATTTCTGCACATCAGTTGTGCCACATGACTTTCAAGCAAAAAAATGTAATTAACAAAACTTAACCACTGTTTTTTTCTAGCAAATATAAAAAGACCATGCGAACTACTTAATGTTTTTTTTTTTTCAAATCACTATGTATAAATTCCATTTTTTAATGCATTTTAAATAAATGAATATATCTGCAAAAAGCATTTCACAAACCACAATGTCATCGACAAGTTATTTTAAATTACTTGTTCAATACCCCTCAAGTAACTTATTTTCAAGGTTATTGCTTGTACATCATAAGCAAAAGAATAAATTTGTTACCAACCTATTCTAACTTATAAGTCATATGTAAAAAAAAAAATCATACCTTGACAAAGGCTACTTGTTTGGCGAAATGTTGGTAACACATAAAGCCCTGTTCAGACTACACAATTTTAGCCCGATTTTGCCACGATCTGCTTGACGTAGGGTGTCGTGGGGAATCGTATACGACAATGGACGTCGGGACGCACGATTCAATCGTTTCATCTCATGTAGTGTGTCAGTGCACGACACCTCTGCGATGCTTCACGACGTCAACACAGAAAGACTAGCATGTTTAATTTTTTTTCTGTCGTACACGACAAGTTCCATCACAGCTATGACACTGGCCAATAGGAGCACAGAAGCGCCTTTGTACAAGCTTTCAAACATGCCGAAACGAAAGGGAGACATGGTATCGGTCCTGCTAGGTGTAATGGAGGAAAATGTTCGTGGAGCTACGGCAACAATACTCCTGCATTTATGATGAGGGACTACCGCGACACAGTGAAAAAAGGTCAAATAAAAACTGTTACCTCAGTTCTCTTTGACAGTCCATACCATCCAGATTTGTGTCCATTGTCAGGTTTTCTTTCTTTTTTGGGCTTTTCTAACAAGACAGGGCAAAACACGCTGTTTGCTAGCCATTGTTTGTTTACGCTCATAGCACCTTTCTTGTCTTGCGCTATTGATGACAGCACGCACGTTGTTAATGACGGCATGCGATGAATGGTTGGGTAGCATCGTATAGTCTGACATGTTTCTTGTTCACGACACGACAAGATTTTATGAGTCAAAATCGCATAATCTGACACAGTGACTGTCGTAACCGACAAAAAAATCGTGTAGTCTGAACGGGGCTTAACCAGTGCTTAAGAGAGTGTGCAGTTATATTTTTCTTCATTTAGTCTGTTCCTTTAACTTGCACCTAAAAAAGGTGTGCGTTTGTTTTACTACTTTAATGTTCAGCAATGTATTCACAGCATTCAAAAGTTCTTCAATCAACAGTCGCGAGGTTCTTCAAGTACTTTCACAGTATGCACTGAATATAATGATTTCAGATGCAACACAGGTCTACTAAAGACCTAATCTTATAAATAAAAGAAGACATCCACAATGTGCAGTACGCTGGAAAAAAAAGACCAGGATTGGGAACCACTAATCTAAACCCTTTCCCCAATAAATTCCAATATGACCCAAACTAAACTGGAATTAAACAGAATTCAACTGAATCCTTCCTGTTCCTCTGGCAGAATGGTGGCATAAACTATGAATGATCTTCAACTCTGCTTAATTTATCAATATTAAAAAATTACATCACAGCTCAGTGTTCACATCTTTTACTTCTCATGCCCATTTGGTGGTGCTACAAATCCAGGTGACACAATCGACTTCTTTACATACTCCAAAAGGTACTGAAAGAGCTGCCATAGTAATCTAGCAGTGCAGGAGTTGCAACATGCCACTGGAGGCAACGAATGAGGAAGTGCAGCCATTGAAAAGCTCACCTGGAGTCTTCTGTAACCTCCTCGATGAAGCCCGAGTCACATCTGGGACAGATATACTCCTGAACACAAGCAAAATCACAATTAGAATACAATGTCGGAAAATCACATTGTTGACATCAACAATGTAAACAAACAAAACAAAAAAAGCTGTGTTTTTTTGTGAGGACACACACATTTGCATAGCACTACAATACACACTCATTTGAATTTTAAAACAAATAGTCCCGTACGAGGAGAGACACTCCCTGTAATGTGTGTCATGACAATTGCTGGCTGATTCAAAAGGCTGCTTCCCTATTTTTTCTCTGACTCGAACAGGTCAAGTCAGGTCATCCTGTGGGTCTCCAAAAAAAGTAGGACAATGGCTGCTTATCTTGACATACAGCACAACTCGGGACACTATTGTGCCTTATTCACAGTTTCACACTATATACACTAACCATATACACTACCTATATACACTACCTTCTGTATACAGACGTTTACTAAGTTAAATGGGTAGTAAACACACAACTCATCCTCACCAGGACAGCTCATGATGAATTGACTTACTGACACACAGACCAACAAGTGCTTAAATTAAACAGTCATTGACAGATTTGCGATGCACGTCAAATGTCATGTTACAAATAAGTAAAACAGAAACAGAAATATTTAGTATTCCGGTTTCGCTTTTGAAGAGAGTTCAGGATTGATCCCACTTAAAGACGTTTTTGAAAATCTCTAAACGGTAACAGCATGAACCGAGCGCTTATTAAAGCCAAACATTTCCTAAAATTTGAAAAAGTCACTATTTGTACAGTAAGATAGTACGAAAACATAACAAAACCACTAGATTTGAGTGTAGCATTTGTGCTAAAGATAAAATACGTGAGTTTTCTCCGTTTTTACGTGAACGAATAGCAGTCTTACGTTTAAAAATACCGGTCACTGATAAATACGTTTGTTTTTAGTGTACAAACAACAAGGCACGACAGGCCTTTCGCCCACATCAGGTTGATACACTGCTACCATGCTAACTTTAGCACAACAGCGAGACCTGCGAGAGCGACAGCGGCAGAGCACAAACCGACTAAGATGAACCGGCTGTGCGTTACAAGCGACGCGGACTCACCGGCAGTTTGGGGTTCACTTCACCCTTACAACAGTGACAGAAGAAGCGATGCGGAGGGACCGCCGCAGCCTCCGCCATGTTTTCCGTGAGACTGTCTGTGCCCCAAACAGCAGCAGCGCTGGCCGTCGGTCCGCCCACTGCGGAGGGTGGCGCTCTGACATGAGCTCGGAGGTCCGATTAACTGTAGCGAGTCGATTCACTCGGACGGTTCGTTCAATGAACCGGTCGAAGCAATACACTGATTCAAGTTTATTTGTTATACATCCTTACAGCGGCAGTGAAATGTGGTTTTTACAAGCCTGTAAAAAGTAAAGTTAAAATAAAGGGAGTGATTAATTTACAATAATAGTACATTATTAATTCAAATAATCCATAATACACTGATGTACATTATTATGTTTGTTTCATTCATCTAGATATTTTAGGCAATATAGAAATCCTGGCCAGGACACGTCCTGTGAAAATGGCACGTATGGTCACCCTAATCTAATTGTTTTACTTTAAAAACATAGTTCATGTAGTCGAGTGATTCACAGTCGGCTCTTCTGAATCATTAAAAGAATCAGTTCATTGCAACGATTCGTTCGCTGATCAGGCATCACACTGGAGCTCCACCTGACCACGGAAATTCGTCAGTGCTGATCTTTACACAACGCCTGAACAACACATGTGATATTAAAAAAGAGAGAGATTAAAACTCTAAACACGTACAGCTAGATCATTTTTAGAGGTAGGTTAATTTTTGCTCATGTGCATGATTGTGTGTTTTTGTGCAATGTTAGGGTAAATTAGATGTTTGATTTGTAGAAAGGCCAGACAGCAGCTAATGCTGCTTTCATGTGTTAGATTGTGTAATGAATGAGTATCACGTAGAACCTAAATATTAATTATTTTTACTGTACGTTTTGAACAGGATGCTCTTTTGATGCTTTTAATACTGCTTTCAGGTACTGGTTACAACACTCTGTGATGTGACAGCATGTTAAGTGTTAGTGTTCTGGTCAGAATGAAAAACTTTAAACAATGTGCTTCTCTTCCTATGAACCTTCGTAAATGATGCAATCAAATGAAGTGGCTGTGTAATACAGATTTTGGACTCAGACATTGATCATATTCATAAAAAATATATTTTATTGACGTTTATTTAATTATATTTATTTACATTTTATTAAATATTATTATTTTGACTAATTTATTGTAAAATATTAAAATACATGCCAGTAGTTTGAGAGTAAAGAGATGCATGGAATGCTTCATGGGAGTTTTTATTTCTTTAGTAACAGCAATTTTTCTGATTGGTGGATCTTTCTTCAGGATTATGGGTAGTGTAGTTATTCACTGGGAACTCAACAATTAAAAATCAGTTAAAAAAATGAAATTGAAACTACAATGACTCTAGGCTACTACAGCCCCCACATAACTGCTTCAGAGCTTATGGTATGTCTTGAAAGCTTTATATGTTACCACTAAAATTATGATTCCACTCCATTGTCATATCCAGTAAAATTCGGGTTCAGTGTTTATAAAATCATGTTATTTCATGAGGTGTTTAAGTGATTGGTTGTTCCTCTCTTTCCTGTAGATGACAGCGCAGGAGGTGCGTTTGTGTGGGCTGCTGCTGCAGGAGCACTTTGGAGATGTGGTGGAGAAAGTGGGCACTCATCTGATCTGCAGTGGAGTTCTGACCTTGCGAGCACTTGCCCATGAGACCAAACTTCCTCTTGACCTGGTAATGTCATGCACTTTAGCTTTCTCCATTATTACATCCTTCCCTTTCTCTTCTCTTTCCATTCTTTCTGTCTTCCTTTTGCCGAGCCAGTAAATTCATCATATTCTCTTTAACACACTCTTCTCTTGCTAGGTCAAGAAGTCTCTGTGTGTGCTGATGCAGCATGGGATGTGTGCGTTTGGTGCTGGGCGTCGTGGGCCAGCGGGACCTGTGGAATATCACATCATCTGTGAGCACATCCTACACATGCTCCGTTATCCACGCTACATCTACACCGCCAAGAGTCTTTATGGAGACACAGGCGAGCTCATTGTTGAGGAGATACTGCAGAGCGGACAGATGACTATGAGCAGCACAGTCAAGACTGTAGCAGACCGGCTGACCCACAATATGCCAGGTGAGAAACTATAAGAATACAAGAAGACTGAAGGGCTAATTCATATAAACGAAACAGGATTTGAAAATACAGGGGTTTTATTTTTTGTAAGGATTTTGGCTTGCAGTATATATGATTGATTGCTCCAAACAAACTTTAAAGTGAGCTCAGCTCCTTTAAACCAAACTTAACTGAGACCATCTTGGTATGGGTATGGTTTGCTTATAACATGCATTATCAGCGTTCACCTTATTTTCAGAATTGCATAATGGCAAAAAATAAATCTTTATAAAAAAAATCACATAATGGCAAATATTTTGCAAGCTGTTTTACCATTCAAAGGGAATGTTGGCATACAGAGGAGGAAATTAGTTGCATATATTTTAGTTTATAGACTTGGCAGAAACTTATTAAAAATGACTGTAAACTTTAAAGACAAAGGTCTTTATACTACCTTGGAAAGTTTTGTGAAAGTTAAATAATATACATAGATACTATTCTATGCATTTTTGTTATGTATGTATTAATTTTTTTGTATTTACCACAATCATTCTTAAGTTTTGAACTTTTATTTTGATAGGAACATATATATTATTTTTTATTGAAATTTATCCTGCATCCAAGCCCGATATATCAGCCGATATTTGCCATTTTTTAAATATCTCTTTATTAATAACTTTTTTTTAATATTTGTGAAAAATACTGTAATAGGATTACAGATTCAAGAAGTTGTCATCTAAAGTACAAATATGTTTATCTGACGCAGTTATATTTTATATATTTATATTCTATTTTATATAAGGAAGGAAAGAAGTTGAATCTATCTATCTATCTATCTATCAGCCATCTGCCACCCTGCTCTCTAAGATATGGATATCGGTGGACCACTAATAATTATCATTCTCAATATTATATTATATTAATATTCAAGTTGGCTGGGTTTCACAAAAATAACACACGAAAAGCAGACTGAGTCTGTTTTTAAAATCAGTCAAAATGTAAACAGAACCAAGTTGTTCATTCACTTTTTGGGTTTGTCCAATTGTTTTTTTTTAGTTTTTTTTTTTTAAAGAGGACCAGACAAATGTGGTATAAAAAGAAAGAACGCTAAAATGACATCTGAAATAGGTTCCATCCACTTTCTTATGTCTTGACTTTTGTTTGAAATGTACCTATTGAAGCTCTTTTTGCACCAGAGGGCCAGAGTATGGACTACAGTGAGGTTGTCTCTGCATTCTCCCGGTTGGTGGAGACTCATTTCCTGCAGCGTTGTCCTCCTATGGCCTCAGCAGGATCATCAAGCTCAGGAGCAGTCAACACTCCCCTTCCAGCTGTAACACAGCCCACTAAACCAGAGGACCACCCAGAATGCTACAGACTACCCTACATCAATCTCACCGGTCAGTTACTTCAGTCAAAGCACTCATCATCACGCACTATTAAACTCTTTAGTGGTCAACTCATATGGTATATATAGTACCAGTGAAAATTGAGCTTATGCATAAATGCTTAAAATTATTTTAGTGTTCATTGGAAAATACAACAGGTAAAAGTTTTGAATATAGTTCTTATTGTTCACCATATGAATACAGTAAAACTGAGGTGGCTGAATTGTATTTATTCAGGTCAAGGAAAACGCAGACGCTCAAGTGAGGATGGTGAAGCTGAGCAGCGTGCGGCAAAGAAAGCCAAGACAGACAATAGTGAGGTATTACCATTGAGATGATGACATCACCCATCCACATGTTCATTAGCTGAGTTTTTCATGCATTGCACATCTGTTTTCTCCCTCTCTCTCCAGCGTGGTGATGAAGGGATCTATTGGCAGGTGAATTTTCAACGCTTTCACCTGCACTTCAGGGATCAGGCCATTATTAGTGCCGTTTCCTGTAAACTTGATCAGGTGACAGTAACCACCACTCTGTATATCAAATCATCTAAGATGTGCTGTGAGATATAATTAGGTTGTGGACTGAATATTCTTTCACGGCTGTATCTGAGACAGAATGTTCTGGATTCTCACATTTAGACATTCTCCTCCAGGGAAATAATAATAAGTCGGTAGAATGTAGGTCTTTATCTGCTAAATTTCTCCCCTGTAGGCTAGCAGTGAGATTGTTAGAACCATGTTGCGGATGAGTGAAGTTACAACGCCGGCTCACGCTGCTTTCACACAAGCCCTTTCTGCCAATGAGGTAATGGACAGACATGCATATTTTTGTTTGATAAGGCCCTTACTGAAAAACATTTAAAGAGACAGGTCTAATTAGTTCATTGGAGTTTAAAATGACAATGGCAGTGTGAACAGTCGGTCCTACAGATCAGCTTAGAAAACCAAACCAGATTGGGGTGAAGTGTGATCAAAGCCTTATTGTTTTCCATCAGATTTTCCGAGCTTTTCCATCCAGTTACAACATCGCCAGACCAATTTTAGACCAATACCTCACTCTCCTGGTGGATGATCCGGTAAAGCAATGCATACACAGATAAACACTACTATATAGTTGCTATTTATACAAGAATTAAATGACTTAAAAATTAATATGCATTTTGTTCTACTAGATGGAATTTGTGGGCAGGACAGGTGACAGTGGAGGAGGAATGTATGTTGTCAGTATCCCTTTAAAACACTACCTGAAAGAAAAAAGGAAGTTTTCCATGTCTGACTGCAAACCGTTTTTATTATTTATTTCATCAAAAGTTTGGGGTAGTAAGATTTTTTTCTATTTTAAATAAATGCTGTTCTTTTGACTTTTCTATTCATTAAGGAATTCTAAAAAATTGTATCACGGTTTCCACACACAAAAAAAAAAACTGTTTTCAAAATTTAATATAAGAAGAAATGTTTCTTAAGCAACAAATTAGCATATTAGAATAATTTATGAAGGATCGTGTGACACTAAAAATGTGAGTTGCTAAAATTTGGCTTGCCATCCCAGGAATAAATATTAAAATATATTAAAATATAAATATTACTTCTTTTAGTAATTCACTGTTACTGCTGATTTTGCTTTATTTTTGATTAGATGCAGCATTGGTGAACATAAGGGACGTCTTTCAAAAACATTGAAATTTTACCAACCACAGAGCAGTTGTGAATTATTTTACATGATGTATCTATTTTTTCAACGACATAGTGTACAACTAATAATGAATTGGTTGACCCTTGACCCTGTGGTCAGATTTACATCGTGCACTGGCTAACCTGGCCAGAGCTACCCTAGAGTCTGTGGTCCAAGAGAGGTTAGTAGAGTCGTAGCGCTTTAGTTTCCTGAAATCTTTTGGTTGTGTTAGTTTCATGATGTGGCTGTGTTTTATGTCAGGTTTGGTTCCCGCTCAGCTCGAATCTTTCGTCTGTTACTGCGAAAACGGCACCTGGAACAGAAGCAGGTGGAGGATTTTGCCATGGTTCCTGCCAAAGAGGCCAAATACATGCTGTACACACTCCTGTCTGAGAACCTGGTCCAGCTACAGGTAGCACTCTCACAGGTTCTGTTCATAGAAATAGATTAGACTTAGTTTTAACAATAATGTACAGTATTTGAAAAATAATGTGTTTTTTGAACATTAAAGCATGTCAACATATTCTGTTACACCAAATAATGATCTTTAAAATAGCATCCTTTAACTGTAACAACCCTGGTTCATAGCACTCTTTGTACTGTATGTGCAGGAAATCCCCAAAACGCCAGACTACGCCCCTTCTCGCACCTTTTACCTGTACACAGTTAACCAGCTGCCCACCGCCAGACTACTTCTGCAACACTGCTACAAGGTACACAGCTCATATGAACATTCCTGGAATGTTTGTTTAATGCTTTTTATAATGTTTTGACATATTTGTATGTGGACCCCATACAGACAGTTGGCAACCTGATCGAGAGGCGGCTGTATGAGACCAAAGAGAACAAGCAAGTCCCATCTTTTGTGTCAATGAAAACATTTAATCTAAGTATCAGTCCTCAGTTATGTCTGTTAATTGATTTTGACAGGCGACTTTTGGAAAAGTCTCAGCGAATTGAGGCCATCCTGGCATCCTTGCAGGCCACAGGAGCAGAGGCGGCCCAGCTGACGGAGGTGGAGGAGATGATCACAGCTCCAGAACGACAGCAGCTCGAGACTTTACGACACCACATTAACAAGTACTACACAAACTAGTCACTCTCTACACATGAATCAGTCACATGATCATTAATCTCGTCTATTCTCTTTGTGCTTATGGTGGCAGGTTGGATTCCAGTGAAAACCAGGTGGATGAGACCATATTTCTTCTGGAATCCTATATCAACTCTACACAGGCCCCTCCCTGACAGTTTTTATATAACTTTAGACTAGTTCAGAAAATTGTTGATGTTTGTTTGAAAAGAAATGGGTGGCTATAGAAGAGAGATTTATTTATTTTGCAACAAGGAGTGACTAGTTTATATTTAATAGTGTGAGTATTTTGTGTAGCCGTGAACAATTTTATTTTCCACAGGAAAAAATAAAGATATAATTCTTTTATTTAATGGTTTACATTTTTTTTTAAATAATTTGTCTGAATGTCAAAAAAGCAAATGCAATTTACAAACCTATGCATTGAACATGAAGAATGAAACAGACATTTTTATTTCTGTTAAGAAAAAAAAAAAAAAAAATAGACTGCTTGGTATTATACCATATGTTTTCAACTTAAATACAAATTTCATTATTTTCTTTTTCACAAATAGTGCATTTGCTTGTTTTCCTGCTCGTTCTTTCAATGCAATGCAATTTTAAAGGATCTGGCTCTATGAAGCCATGCAGAGTGTCTCCCAGATTAACCTTCTTTCTTGTCCTTTTGCGACACAATTGGATTCTTGTGCTTTTTGATGCCACAACAGAATAACGTAACTAAATAACGTACTCGACTGACCTGCAAGAACTGAACTTTTACACATTGTGCATCCCTTTGCATGTTCATGTATTAAATATTTTGGCACATTTTAGCACTCTCAGCTCCATGTGAAATATTTTATCAAGTTTAAATCCATTCTGCAGATTTCCCCCCAAAATCAGCAAAGAAAATGAAGAATAAGTCTGTAGATTCCACCTGGACCTGATAATGGATTGTTTGTGGTCCTGGAGCAAGTGTCATGTCTCAAAGGGGAAGTAATGGCTACAGAAGGCATATTTCCTGGTTGTAAAGGAAACTCTGTTCAGTCTGCTCTGTAGTGTTAGTTGTCATCATTCTCATCCTCATCCTTCCTCTGTTTCCTTGTGAAAAACCCCAACTGTGAAGAAACATCAACACATGGCTTAAGACTGCCGAGTGCTAGTAGTTTTAGTACATATAAAGTGTTTTGGGTAGTAATGAGCTTCAGATGTAGCCGCTGTGCACCTGCTTATGTGTTGTGTTCAGTACCTTCCAAAGGATGAATACTAAGAGTGCAAGAAGCAGCAGTCCTCCAATGATGCTGCCAATCAGAATCCAGAGAGAGATTGGAATCGAACGCCCCTTCAGCACTTCCAAAACCGTCTATATATACAGAGACAGAAAGAGAGTTTATAGTACAAAACTCTGGATTTGTAGGAAAGTTTTCAAGTCATTTCAAGTTTGATTTTGATGTAACAAAGCAGCATTTTCTAAGTGGGTGAGTTGTATACTTTTTAATTAGTACAGTAGGCTACCCATTAACACCATTATTTATTCATTAAGATTTGCCAGTGTAGAGCAACAGGCAGGATTTATCATGTGAACGTAATAGGCCAATCATAGAACGGTTGAGGCTTTATCTCCTCTCACGTGACTTTTCCTCATTCATTCTCAATTAACAATTTCATAGCGTTTGCATTGTTTTATTTTTGTACTGAGGATTACACATTACAGTGGCATTCAAAAGTTTAAAACCCTCAGGTAAAAAATGTAAATAAATAAATACATAAATGGATGAACGAATGAACAATTTCTTAGTCACTAATCAAGTAAAGTAAATTTACAGTTGTAAATTCAAGTTTTCACTCAAATTGTCATGCTAACAATATAATTTGTGCTGAAAAAAGTAAAACAGAAACTTTTCATCAAATTAAAATAAAATAAACAGCTTCTAGGTCACTAATTAAATAAGTGAATGTGAGATTTTGTGAATTGAAATTTTCACTCAAATTGTCATGTTAACAATATAATTTGTGATGAACAAAAAAGCAAAACAGAAACATTTCAAAAGTGGTCTCACAATTTTGGACCCCACTGTTTAACAGTCTGGAAGCCTGCAACCTTTAGCTAAAAAGCTAACGGCTAATGCTAATGCTATGCGCAGGGAAGGAGACCAGAGGCCGTTTTTTTAAATGGATGTCAATGGAGGAGAGGCTTCACTACACTGAATAAACTGCTTTTTTGAGGAAACAGCTCATCATTTAATGCCTGTCAGCTAATCTTCAAACATGTTTTACACTAAACAATAGATTTTGATTGAACTATTTTTTAGAGTTTACCACAAAAAAATCGATTTATAGGAGATTTATAGGAGCAGTCGCTGACTTTTTGCGACAGGTGGGATTCAGCTTACAGCACTTCTCATTTATTCCTATGGTATCTGTAAACGTCGATTGAGTGTCGCACAACTCTGACTGAAATTCAATGACGTCAAGGCTATAATGTGATTGGTTATCAAGGCACATGTGATCCAAGTTGACCTTTACGTTTTCTCCACGACATTACGAGATACCAACTTGTAAAAAGCGTTCACGTCCTCGTAGAACTCGTAATTGCAACTTGTGAACTGGGACTTTACTGAGAGCTACATCTTGTACTACCTGACCACCTCAGATGTTCAGGCATTGATAGTGCAGAAGGAAGAAGAATACAGATCCTCTCATCTCTCAATAGTAAGACAATCTCTGGTTTCTAGTGAGTCTGAAGACCTTGATTGGCTGGTTCAGGTGTGTTTAATTAGGGTTGGAGCTAAATTTTGCCAGACAGTGGCCCTCCAGGAACAGGTTTGGACAGGTTTATGAGTTTGTGTCCTGTCAGTTTTCTCACCTCCCTCAAGAGGGCAGCATTTCCCATTATAATCAGACTGGACTCCCGAGCAGACAGCTGGTAAGAGCCCACTATTGTCACTGCTTTAAACTTGGCCTGACAGAAGCACACAGTAGTCAGAGGTTAGAGACTGAAACACAAACACATCCCAGTAAATACATCTGACCTCTGTAGCCATTTGCCTGTGTGCCTGTGTGAGATGTCACCTGTCTGAAGAAGTTGTCATGTATCCTCCTGGTGATGCGAATCAAGGCTGTCTGTCCATTCAATAGCTGTTGGATGTGACACACAACCTCCACACACCATGAGGAAGTGCAGTTCTAAATATGAAAACAAAATGATATTATAGTATAAGATAATTTACTGCAGTAGATTAAATTAGCGATCTGCTGGTTATTTTTTACATATAGAATCATTTCATGCAGCCTCTGATGGTGGTTTCGGTCCCTGATCATTTGGGTCAGGGTTTTCAAACTAGTGTTTACAAGGAGGTGCTAGGGAGTCTGTGGAAATGTTTGGAGAAAAGCTATTAAAAAAGTTTAAAAAAAGAGTAAATAATTAATAAATGTTACAATAAATAACAATAATGCAATAATGAATATTACAATAAATAAATAATAAAATATGATTAAAATAAAGAAAAATTTATTCAAATAAGTGAAAACATGAGTTAATAAATACATGTAAATCAGATTAAAATAAGTAAATAATTTAGTAAATAAATGAATACAAATAAAATGTAAAATATATATTTATAATATTTATTTGTCATAAATTGTGTCTTTATACAAAAAACTATATACAGTAGACGCATTTTGAATTTTAGTATCAGTATCCCTCTCTAGTGTGGGCCTCTTTTGCTGCTTTCATTCTCATAGATATGCAGCCAAAACTCTGAATCATTCCAGTTTGTTTTCATTTGATTTTCTCCTCCACCCAAATACTTAACAGGAATTTTGTCCTACTTTTCAACAAGACAAAAAGAGGTTGACAGCTCTAGAATTTGATGGCGATTTGATGGCAAAGAATAATGTCTATGCAGAGACAGCAAGTTGTTAATTGCAAGCGAGTTCCAAATAAAATCTAATTAAATCAACAAATCAAAATTCAGTTTAACGTAATGGATTTACTTCAGTTAAAGAATGCAGTTGTCAATTTCCTGTCAGTGAACATAACATCTGTATTCTCACCAATAGTTCCGTTTTCTTCATGTCTTCTGGGTGAAGTGGACGCACATCTCTCTGGCTGGACTTTAACTTGGATAGATCACCCACTATACTGCAGTTCACACCTGAAGACTACAAATAAACAGAAAAAACACCAACAACTACATGAACACGAAGATGCATGTGAATTACAGTAAGACTGTATAAATGCATACACATGATACTAACATTATGAGAGAAAGCATCAACCACAGTCGCGAAAACTCTGTCTCCTGAAGCCACGGCGGGCAAATTGACAGTCAGCTCCAGATTACTGACGGCGTAACAGCCCAGATTCTGCACCTGATATCAAAAACATGTACTCAGAAGCTTTCTGATTTTTTAAACATAAACCAATGAGCCTATCAGGTTTACTTTGACCCACGCTGAAATGTGTGTAGAACTCGGGTCCTGTCCCCTCAGACACGGTTCTGGTTGGGTGGACCTCATAGCGGTTTAGGTTGGAGTCACTGTGGTGAATTAAGCCGAAATAAGACAACCACATATGCATACTGTACACTGAACATCCATGCATGTTAAGGTTGTAAAAGGGAAAGGGATGTTGGGAACTAACCTTGTGACGAAGAGATCTGGTTCATACTGTACAATACTGTGTAACTGTACACTGTTGTCCGAAAGTGTGCCTTCACTCTCCACACTGTCACTGTGGCAACACACACATACACACATTTAATATACATTTTTCAACACATGTTTATTTACTTGTTGTGTTAGGTTAAAATGACTCTAAATGCATCTTCCAAAAAATGTAATTATTTAAAATAAATGGCCATGACATCCTTGGCCAGTACCATTTGCTAATGGTTTAAGTTTTGTGTGTGTGTGTGTGTGTGTGTGTGTACCTTGAAGCAAAAAGCTTCATCTGGACCTTACTGATGAGAGACGTACAACTGAACTCAAATTCCAACATGAAGTTCACCTGAGAAAAACGAGGCAGTTGGGAGAATCACTGGTCAATGAACCCAAACGGCTCAGTGACTGTTTTTAATGAATTATGATGACAAACCTTCATCCTTTCAGAGGCTTACCTTCGACTGAGAGCGGAACACTGGATAACTGACATTACAGGAGTGACTGTTTGAGCTTAGAGCCGTACATTCAATCTTAAACTGGGCGTCTTCCTATAGAGACAGAAAGAGAGAAAGAAAGAGACAAAAATAAGGTAGAAAGAGAAATGAAGCAGCAAGTAGTGTGATTCATGAAACAGTGGAATATACCGTACTTTTGTATAAATTATGTATATAAATAAGAATTTTCTTTAAATACTTACACTACCATTCTAATGTTTTTTTTTTTTTAAGAAATCTAATGTTCATCAAGGCTGCGTTTATTTGATCAAAAATACAGGAAAAAGTAATATTGTGAAATATTATTACAATTTAAAATAACTTTTTCTATTTTAAAATCTATTTTATTCATGTAATGTCAAAGCTGAATATTCAGGAGTCATTACTCCAGTCTTTAGTGTCACATGAACCTTCAGAAATTATTCTAATATGCTGATTTGGTGATCAAGAAACATTTTTTTTATTATTATCAATGTTGAAATTAGTTGTGCTGCTTAATATTTTTGTGGAAACCATGATACATTTTTTTTCAGAATTCTTTGATAAATAGAACGTTCAGAAGAACAGCATTTATTTGAAAAATCTGACCTCAAAATATTAAATGGAAGTGTATATTTTGTATACATAATTGTGACATTTATTAGTAAAGTATCTACGATATTACTCATTTGGCCAAACAATCACACTGCTGTATTTAACACATGCTGGTGTGTTTGTACTAATATGCATTTATGTTTTTT